TCACTATATCCGCTCTTCCCGGACCCTGCATTCACTATATCCGCTCTCCCCGGACCCTGCATTCACTATATCCGGTCTCCCTGGACCCTAAATTCACTATATCTGGTGGTGGGACTAAGTCTGGTTTAAGCATTATGTCACAACTGTTTCTCGAAAAAAAAAAAAAAACACTCTGTGCTTTTGCCTAATGCTGATTTTTTCTTTTCTTTTTACCTAGGGGTGGCATGATCCTTTAAATTAGAGGTCTTCAAACTTATAATTACAAGGGTCACATATGGTGAAAAATACTTACGAGCCCCCCAAAAAAAACAAAACAAAAAAAAAAACAGTTTTATAAATTAATGATTCCTTCCTTACATCAGGGTCCTCACTAGAGCCTTCCTTCTTGCATGAGGATTCCCATCAAAGTCCCACTTTAAATTAGGGTCCCCATTAGAGGCCCCCCAAATGTCAAGGTCCCCAGCACTGCCACCCTTCAAGCCAGGGTAGCTATCAGTGTCCCTCCTTACATCAGGATCCCCCATCAGAGTTCTACCAAACAGCAGGGCCCTTATCAGTGTCCCCCTCTACATCAGGGTCCCCATCAAGGCCAATGCTTAAAATCAGAGTAGCCAACAGTGTCTTTCCTTACATCCTTCCTACAAACAGCAGGGTCAGGATTTACCAGGGTCCCCATCAAACCGCTGAAAACCAGGGTAGCCATCAGTGTCCCTCCTTACATTAGGATCAGTCCTACCAAACAGTAGGGTCCTCATCAGTGTCCCCCTTTACATCAGGGTCCCCATCAAGACCACCGCTGAAAACCAGGGTAGCCATCAGTGTCCCTCCTTACATTAGGATCCCCATCAGAGTCCTACCAAACAGCAGGGTCCTCATCAGTGTCCCCCCTTTACAACAGGGTCCCTATCAAGGCCACCGCTGAAAACCAGGGTTCCCATCAGAGTCTCCCCTTACATCAGTGTCCCCTTTAGAGTCCCCCTTACCCCTGTAAGGCTTACAGCATATCATTAATTGTTAAGACGCCGGTGAAAACCTGAACTAGAAATCCTGGGGAAGGGAGGCCATGTGGCCCCTTGGGCTGTAGTTTGGAGACCCCCGCTTTAAATCACACAGGAAGAAAGAAATGTAGTGTAAACAAAAGTACTGCAAGTAAAATACATTCATGATGAAGAGGGGCTGGTAGGAGGAGTTAGAGAATTGAGTGACTTTGGGTACTTGAAGACGGACCAAGCCGCATGCATAGACAAAATCCAGCGTGGAGCATGCTGACATCTAGTTTTGCAACAATACGATCTCTAGAACGCCCCGCCCGACGCACCGACAACACTTTGGAAGTCACATTACAATTTGGAGATGTCCAGTAAATAAAAAGTTTGTCTATACAGCAATAAAAGGTTTGTCTCATTCGGCTTGCCGTAAAAAAAAAAAACCAAAAAAACAAAAACACTTTTCAACTTAAAAAATAAATTTTACGCGAGGTGCAATCAGAACCCTGTATCGGAATAAATTAAAGTTCAGAGTGATCGATTCGTCACCATTTCCAGCCTCAAGGACACCGTTTTACGTCCGTATATGATGCCACTTCGGAAAAAATTTAAAAAGATAAAACCCCCTCCCCCCCCCACTTTCACGATTGTATCTTTTGTTAGTCGCATCGCCGAGTAAAACAAGGTCCCTTTATATGTTGGCGATTCCAGCACTGATGAGGGATTCGGAGGGTTCTGGTTGTATTGGCTCAGACGGAGAATTCGGTGCCGCCTTTTCTTGCTCTGAGGAATCGTCTCATTTGTAATCCCACAAAGGGGTTGATCCAGAGTAAGGATGGCTGCCCGCCGAACACGGACCTCATCCCGTCCCACCTCAGCCTCCGCTCCCACGTGGGCTTCTCGCTTTTCAGCCTTTCAATTTCCTACATAGGGGGCAAAGAATTAGAAAAACATGTTTGTGAGATGCAGCAAGGATGACCATGACAAGCTGAAAGAGACAAAAATTGGTCTATAGATCTGCTGTGTTCCTGAGCCCAACTCTTTGTACCATCTGTGCTAAGTAAAAGCGATTCCAAAGTCTAAAAGGGTTTTTTTTTTGCTTTTTTTTTTTTTTTTACCTTAACCACTTCCAGTCCAGAAACTTTAACCCCCTTCCTGTCCAGGCCAATTTTCAGCTTTCAGCACTATCACACTTTGAATGACAATTGCACAGTCATGCAACACTGTACCCATATGACTTTTTTAGCATTTTTTGAGACAGATAAAACTTTATTTTGGTGGTATTCATTCACCACTGAGATTTTTTATTATTTTTGCTATATAAATGAAAAAGTCCAAAAATTTAGAAAAAAAGTGTTTTTCTTATAAAATTTTGCAAATAAATAATCTTTATTCATAAATCCAAAATTGGCCAAAATTTATTCTGTTACCTTTTTAGTAAAAAAACAAACAAAAAAAAAAACCCAAATTGGTTTATAACCAAAAATTATAATTTTTTAAAAAAATATTTTGACTTTTTTTTTTTTAATATTATGGTTTTTTTTTTTAAATTAACATACTGTCACCCTAGCAGCACAGTGTCACCATAGTGACACTGTACTACTTGCGGGGGGATTTAAGATTTTTTTTTTTTTTACACGGATTGCTTTTACACCCATAAAGGCTGTAAAAACAATCATTTCTCCTTCTCTCTGGCTGCATTCCTGCAGCCATTGAGAAATACTGTGGGAGCTGTGATTGGTCACAGCTTGTCATATGGTACAAGGCTGTTGTGAATAGCCTTTGTACCATGTGACCTCTGTGATCATTCACAGATTTTACACGTAGTAAGCAATGATGTCAAAAGTGACATCTTGCTCACTACTATTCATGTGATCACTGATTGGCCAATCAGTAATCACATGATCGAGACCTCACACAGAGGTCCCGTACAGCGATCGTTGTTCCTCCGGACACAGCGGGCACCGGATCACAGTGCTGTACGCTCCCAGGGAGCGCGCACAAGCAAGGAAGCGGGGAGGACATTTATAAATGGCCATCCACCCCTACACTGCTCCTCTCCAGCCGTTTATATACATGGGCCGGACAGGAAGTGGTTAAAGCATTCTCTGCATTAAAGTGGTTGTAAACCCTTACGTATACCCAGTGAAGTCACTGATCTCAGGTGATCACACAGAGATGAAACAAATTCTCCTATATCTGTTGTACCTGTTTATCTGCAGTCTTCTCTTCTCTACATGCATTAAAAGTCCAGAATTTTAAAGCTTGTCTGAGAGTTCTGGACTGACTGGAGGGAACAGACACCCCCACCACACAAGAAGAGAGCGGAGGCTGTCAATCACAGGCTGTGTGCTGGAGCTCCCTCCTCTGTTACCATTTTTCTCATCTGTCACCGCCATCCTTGACAATTTCTTGAATTTATTTGCAACACCTCCATATCTGCCCCCCAGCATGCCTCATCACTACTAGGGGCAAGCTCAGGCGAGTTTGTATCCTAATTCAAAGCCACTACTGGTCACCATCAAGCACTCAAGGCATTCCCCACACGTATGCAAGGGGTGTCTATATATGTGGCTGTGGAGAAAGGAATGCCTTGGCAGCTTATGATTGGTGGGGAGAACTGTTGGCTAACCAATTCCCTAGTGCAACTCCCCTTCCCCGTTTGCTTTTAGCAAATCAAGTCCAATGTGTTTGTGAAAAGGATCTGAGCTCACAGAAGCTGCCCTTACATGTTTAATTACAAGCCTGGTGATGATGTCACAGGGAGTAAAAAAAAAAAATAAAAAAACCCAGCAGATTTCTCCCTAAAAGAACAAAGTAAAAGAAATAGGGCAGCACAGTGGCTAAATGGTTAGCACTTCTGCCTGGCAGTACTCGGGTTGTTGGTTCGAATCCCAGCCATGGCACCACCTGCCTGGAGTTTGCATGTTCTCCCTGTGCCTGCTTGGGTTTCCTCCGGGTACTCCGGTTTCCTCCCACACTCCAAAGACATGCTGGTAGGTGAATTGGCTCCTGTCTAAATTGTCCCTAGTATGTGTATGTATGAATGTGAGTTAGGGACCTTAGATTGTACACCCCTTGAGGGTTAGGGACTGATGTGAATGTACAATATATATGTAAAGTGCTGTGTAAATTGACGGCGCTATATAAGTACCTGAAATAAATGAATAAATAGTTCTGGGGGAGAGGGTGCCAGGAAAGTGTGGGGGGTAAACTTGGGTCATGCCTATATAACTACTTAAAAGCGGAACTTCACCTAAAAAGGGAAGCTCCGCTTTTACTCTTCCTTCCCCCTTCTCTACTATTTTTGGATGTGTTTTTGTTTTTTTTTTTTGGAGCGGGTACCTATTTCTCCCTGGCACTCACTGAACTTCAATTCGGATAACCTAGACAGTGCAAGCGGAAGTGCGGTTAGCCTCCCCCTCCCGCAACCTCTTGGAACATGTCACAGGTCCTAGGAGGCTGCAGGTCTATTGAGAAAGCACAAAGCTACTCATGCATGCACAGTAGGAAACTGGCTGTGAAGCACCAGGAAGTCACAGCTGGCTTCCCACTTCCAAAATGGCAGCTTCAAGAACCCGAAGACCAGCAAAGAACCGGTCCAGGTGAGCACAGCGCTGGATCGCTAGACTGGAAAGTGCATGTTTATTAAAAGTCAGCAGCTACAACATTCATAGTTGCTCTTTAACCCCTTGGTGCCGGCGCCTCCCGACCTTTTAAGGGTTTCAGAAGCCGGAAGGCAGGGCGGGGTTTTATGGTCATGTGACCGCCATGATTCACTGTCACGTCGGTCACATGATTGGGTAAGGTCCCGATCGAAAGAGGAGATCCGGATCTTTACGCGAGTACCAGACGTGTGGTGAGAGCACGCAGGGCGCGCGCTCTCAGCAATTTGCTTTTCTTAATAGAATGCAAATGTGTGGCCGCTCGGCGTCAAGGCCCAGATGCCAGGAGGCCGCATATTTGCATACGGCCAGTGCCAAGAGGTTAAGGGTTTTTTTTTTTTTTTTTAACCTAATCAGAAAAAAAACAAACAAAAAAACACACACCAACACCAGAAATCAGAGCAGTAACAGTCATGGCTTGTCCCATATCCCCACGTACCGTTTCATCATTGCATATGGAATGAATCTGTGTCCCGAACATGACAGCTGTGAAGGTGAGAAAGAGGAGGCCCTCGAGGCAGAGGAAGATCATGAGGATCACTGTGACAGGTGGACTGAAGCTGCTGCAATCTGCGGAATGACAAAGAGGGTAAGTGGGAGAAGGAGAATGGATGAGAAGAGAACACCAACACAAAAATCAAAAGACATTTTTCAAATTAAAACCTCTGAGGTTTATATGTCAGTGTTCCTTATTCGGATATATTAATTATTATTATACAGGATTTATATAGTGCCAACAGTTTGCTCAGCGCTTTACAAAATGAAGTTAGACATTACAGTTACAATATAATTTGGTACAAGAGGAAACAGAGGGCCCTGCTTGTTTGAACATGCAAACTAAGATCTATTTCCTTGATTTCTGTCCAGGGAAAATGTCACCATTCTCAGTAAATTTTAAGAATGTAATGCGGGCCATAGATGGGATAAAAAATGGCCGAAAATCGGGCAAAAAAAAAAAAAATTGGATGATTTTTGGATCGTTAGTGCGGTAATCGGCCGGCTGGTTTTTGTGATTTTTGCCCTTTTCGATTATCGATCCTGCTGGGAAAAAAAAAAAAAAAAAAAAAAAAAAAATCTCGGCCAAATTTGTTGTTCTGCCGATTTTCGCGGCAATGATGGACAAATCTGTCGATCTTTTTCCGATTTTAAAAAATGCACATGAGCAGTGACATGAAAGAAGAAGGAAAAGAAGAAAAGGAAAACAATAGAATATGAATGAGAGGAAATAGAATATGAATAAAAAGAAGAAATAGAATATGAAGAAGAAAAAGAAGAAATAGAATATGAAGAAGAAGAAGAAAAAGAAGAAATATATTATGAAGAAGAAGAAAAAGAAGAAATATGAAGAAGGAGAAAAAAAAAAAAAAATTTCAGTCCGATATAATATTTGACATTTAAAAGTATAGTAACATTGTATCTATTTGTATCTGAATACAAACATCTGTATCTGAAATGGATACAAAGATACAATGTTGCAACTTTTTATTCTTATTCATATTCTATTTCTTCTTTTTATCCAAATTCTATTTCTTCTTCTTCTGCATATTCTATATAATTGCCAGCTGTAGACAGGACGAAAATCAGCCGACTTTTTTATACCAATGGTGGTAACATCGGCTGATTGAACGACCAATTTTTCATTTCTCCAAAAAAAAAAAAAAAACGGCTGGTTTTCTCCCCGTCTATGGCCTGCATAAGACAGAAAAGGGGCGGTGAGGGGAAAAACGTACCAGTGTTACAGGCATCCTGATGCGAGTACAAAACTCCCTGCTGCTGCCTATGTATGCCAGACTTGGATGGCAACAAAGGAGTTAACTAGAGCTGATTAGGATAAAGTAAGAGTTAATGGGGTTAATTAGGAACAATTTCTACCTAAATGGGTTTTTTTTTTTCCCACATGTCAAGTTGCATTAACTAACATCATATGAAGATGGAGTTCATCCCTTCGATCTACCTCTATCTCCTGTCTGCTCAATGTTTATGAACAATGTTACCTTGAATCTCTGCTCCGAACAATATTTATAGACAATGATACTTTGTATCTCTCCATTTCCTGTCTCATCAATGTTTAAAAACAATGCTATTTTAACCCCTTGCCCTCCAGAGGATTTCCCCCCATCCTGGCCAGGCCATTTTATGAGTTACAGTGCTGCGTTACTCTAACTGACAATTGCACAGTCATGCGAAGCTGCACCCAAATGAAATTTGCGTACTTTTTTACCACAAAATAGAGCTTTCTTTCGGTGGTAATTGATCACCTCTGCGGTTTTTATGTTTTTCCAACAATTTTGGAAAAAAAAGCCAAAACTATATTTTTGCTATTAAACAAATCCAGTAAAAAAAAAATGTAAAAAAAAAAAATCTAATTTTGTCATAAATTTAGGCCAAAATGTATTTTGCGACATGTCTTTGCTAAAAAAAAAAAAATCCCAATACGTGTAAATTAATTGGTTTAAGTGAAAGTTATAGCGTTTATAAATGACGGTATATATATACTGGAATTTTATTTTACTAGTAATGGCGGCGATCAGCAACTTATAGCGGGATGCAGCGGGCATTGTGACACTGGAGGGAACTGACTTGGTGTCACTGACATCCCCAGTGACACCAATACAGTGATCAGTGCTAATAAAAAGCACTGACATTGTACTAATGGCACTGGGCAGGAAGGGGTTAACATGTGGGGCGATGAAAGGGTTAACTGTGTGCAGTTTTTTACTGTGTGCTCTGTGTGTGTGTGCTTTACACTGTAAGCACACTGCCATACAAAGCAGTGTGCAGGAGCTGACAGGGGGAGAGATCTGTGTTGTTTATACACAGGTCTCTCCCCCGTCGGTAATACTCGGAGATCAGTGGGGAATCACCGGCCGGGATCCAGTGTATTGACAGCCGAGGCCATGAATGGCGTGCCCCCTAACCGTACCTGCAAAATCACGTATTTATACACATGATTTTGCACACCCGTGCCGCCCTGTAGCAGCATTTCTATTATCTCCAGGTTGAACAATGTTTACAAACAATGTCACTTTGTATCTCTCTATCTTGTGTATGAACATTGTTTATGAACACACTGTCTGACCTTTGACAACAGCTACTACTTACACTAAAATTTCTGGCTGTCATTTTGACAGCATGGAAATGTGTTCAAATGCAAGGAGTTGGGGGGAGCAGCAAGTCAGAAGGACAGGGGGTACTAAATATTTCCTGTGTACTTTGATGTTTTTTTTGTGTGTGGCACACCCAAGGTACACAATTTGTTAAAGACCAGTCAAAAAACTAATCACTCCAGCCACCTCCCTCTCCCACATATTATTATTATACAGGATTTATATATTATTATTATTATACAGGATTTATATATTATTATTATTATTATACAAGATTTATATATTATTATTATACAGGATTTATATATTATATTATTATACAGGATTTATATATTATTATACAGGATTTATATATTATTATTATACAGGATTTATATATTATTATTATACAGGATTTATATTATTATTATACAGGATTTATATTATTATTATACAGGATTTATATATATTATTATTATACAGGATTTATATATTATTATTATTATTATTATTATTATACAGATTTATATATTATTATTATTATTATTAAATACAGGATTTATGATACAGGATTTATATATTATTATTATACAGGATTTATTATACAGGATTTATATATTATTATTATACAGGATTTATATATTATTAATATTATACAGGATTTATATATTATTATTATTATACAGGATTTATATATTATTATTATTATTATACAGGATTTATATATTATTATTATTACAGGATTTATATATTATTATTATACAGGATTTATATCGCGCCAACAGTTTGCTCAGCGCTTTACAATATAACAGGAGACAATACAGCAACAATACAGTTCAATACAAGAGGGAAAGGAGGGCCCTGATCCTGGGAGCTTACAATCTAGGAGGGAGAGAGGGAAAGGAGGGCCCATATAGATTGACTTCAGTACAACTAGCTTGTCTATAGATGGATCAAATCTAGACCAGTGCCTGCTGAAACGGCCAAGATTCAATACATCTAAGGCCGGCTTTACTCTATGCAAAATTAAAAAAAAAGTTTTGCCTTTAGTTACACTTTAGGGTCTGGCTGAGCATACCTACTGTGTTAGGAAATTGAGCCCCCACACCTCTCTCATACTTCCACACCTCTCTCATACTTCCAGGATTTTATTGTTGAGTCCCCATTAGAGAACTTTCCCTAACTTCCTGTCCAAGGGATGGCTGTCAGACAGAACAGGAAGGGAAGATATGTGGTTCTTCTATTAATTGCCCCTGTTGGCTGCTTACCTGTCCACTGCCCCCGGACACAGGTGAAGAGCTGGAAGCCACAAAGAATGAGGGCGTGCAGAGAGATCAGTGCTATGTACATCTAGAGGGAGGCCAAAACACAAAACAAAAACCACAAAAAAAAAACATGCTTAGCATAATGTATGAACAATGAACTGTCAGTACTGCTCCAAAAGTGATTAAAGTTGAACAAAATTGGGGTTACCAGTCAGGGAACTAGCTGGAAGCACATTAAACAACATTAGACAATTTCTGTTACATTATTGTATTTGTAGTTCTCAAAGTGTCCACACTGAACTACTTGTGGGGGGGTGATGAAGATTTTTTTTTTTTTTTTTTTTACACCGATTGCTTTTACACCCATAAAGGCTGTAAAAGCAATCATTTCTCCTTCTCTCTGGCTGCATTCTTGCAGCCATTGAGAAATACTGTGTGAGGTGTGATTGGTCACAGCTTGTCACATGGTACAAGGCTGCTGTGAATAGCCCTGTACCATGTGATCTCTGTGATCATTCATAGATTTCACACGTAGTAAGCATTGATGTCAGAAGTGACATCATGCTTACTACTATTCATGTGATCACGGATTGGCCAATCAGTGAACACATAATCGGGACCTCACACAGAGGTACCGTACAGCGATCATAATTAAAGTGGGTTGAACAAAATTTGGGTTACCAGTCAGGGACCTAGCCGGCAGCACATTAAACAACATTAGACAATTTCTGTTACATGATTGTATTTGTGGAATTCATTTGTAGTTCTCAGTGTTCGCACTGAACTTCTCTTATTTACTCCCTTTTTACAATTGCAAGAGTTATATTTTATAACACTTGATTAGCGCAGATATAACTGTTGATCCTGCCAGAAATCTTATGAGCTGATAACTTCCTGTGCTCTCTGCCTGTGTTGTGCTCTTATCAGTTAAATCTTTAATTGTTCCCAGTTCTCTCTGAAGATTACACAACAGTCCTCAATATGAAATATTACCGTATTTTCCGGCGTATAAGACGACCCCCTACTTTTCCTGCTAAAATGTAGTGTTTGGGCTATACTCGCCGTATAAGACTACCCCTCTTCCAATGCACACCAGTGGGAGGAATAGTGCCCCATCATCGGTGTCAGTGGAAGGAATAGTGCCCCATCATTGTATTAGTGGGAGGAATAGTGCCCCATCATTGGTGTCAGTGGGAGGAATAGTGCCCCATCATTGGTATCAGTGGGAGGAATAGTGCCCCATCATCGGTGTCAGTGGGAGGAATAGTGCCCCATCATTGGCGACAGTGGGAGGAATAGTGCCCCATCATCGGTGTCAGTGGGAGGAATAGTGCCCCATCATCGGTGTCAGTGGGAGGAATAGTGCCCCATCATCGGTGTCAGTGGGAGGAATAGTGCCCCATCATTGTATTAGTGGGAGGAATAGTGCCCCATCATTGGTATCAGTGGGGGGAATAGGTGCCCCATCATTGGTATTAGTGGGAGGAATAGTGCCCCATCATTGGTGTCAGTGGCAGGAATAGTTCCCTATCATTAGTATCAGTGGGAGGAATAGTGCCCCATCATCGGTGTCAGTGGGAGGAATAGTGCCCCATCATTGGTGTCAGTGGGAGGAATAGTGCCCCATCATTGTATTAGTGGGAGGAATAGTGTTCTATCATTGGTGTCAGAGCGACGAATCGTGCCCCATCATTGGTGTCAGTGGGAGGATTAGTGCCCTATCATTAGTATCAGTGGGAGGAATAGTGCCCCATCTTTGGTGTCAGTGGGAGGAATAGTGCCCCATCTTTGGTGTCAGTGGGGGGAATAGTGCCCCATCTTTGGTGTCAGTGGGGGGAATCGTGCCCCATCTTTGGTATCAGTGGGATGAATAGTGCCCCATCATTGGTATCAGTGGGATGAATAGTGCCCCATCATTAGTATCAGTGGGGGAAATAGTGCCCCATCATTGGTGTCAGTGGGAGGAATAGTGTCCCATCATTGGTGTCAGTGGGGGGAAGAATAGTGTCCCATCATTGGTGTCAGTGGGGGGGGGGAATAGTGCCCCATCATTGGTGTCAGTGGGAGGAATAATGCCCCATCATTAGTATCAGTGACACCAATGATGGGATACTATTCCTCCCACTGACACCAATTACACTTGCTGACCGATGTTCTAGTATGGTTCTGCTACAGCCAGCATATGTGGTTGCAGCAGCACCTCTACACTGCACACTTACCGGCCGCTACTTCACTCGATTTTCGCGGGGCCGCTCGGCTCCGCCCCCTCACCGGTGATTGGCCGCCTGTGTGCCTTTCCTGAGCTACAGTTCTGGCGGCCAATCACCGGTGAGGAGGCGGAGCCGAGCAGCCGCGCGAACATCCAGTGGCCGAACTGAAGGAGCAGCCGCGCCTCCTGGACCGGATCGTCGTGGGACCGGAGCCAGGTAAGAAACAGCAGCCCCTGCCCACCCCTGCACTTAGTGTCCCTTCCGTTGGAAGGGGGGGGGCGGCAAGCGGCACCGCGCCGCCCCCCTAAAAAGTGTCAGTATGCCGTATACCGGTGTATAAGACGACCCCCGACTTTTGAGAGGATTTTCAAGGGGTAAAAAGTCATCTTATACGCCAGAAAATACGGTACGTTTATGTGCTTGGGTTTAGATACACTTTCAACCTGCACTCTAGTCTTGCACAGTTGTACCGGCTCCTCTCCTGGTCTGAAATTGCTTGCTGTGCTTTCACTGCACACTGTGAGGTTCTCACAATGTGCATTAGAAGCTACAGTAAGTCAGACAGAGCTCCTCCTCATTTCCTGGCTGGAGGACATCCAGCACCATCTAGCGCTTTCCTCCTCAGCCTGACTGTTCCTGGCTCACCCTTTCTATTCATTGGATTTCAGTTCTTTCAATCAAAAGACTCAGCAACACATGTGGCCGTCATCTATGCAAATATAGGCTGCCTAGAAACACCCACGCCTCCATACTGACACCCATCCATTAAGGCATAATTACATAACTTCTCCCAAGGGCCAGCCCACTGCTTACATCAGAACTGAGGACTCTTGAGAGGAGTACTGAGGCAGGGGGACTGTGATGTTTAGAGGAAGCTATGTACAGCACCCTGCCAGACCTTCTCACCAGCCATGCCCGCTTAACTGACAGTCTCCTCAGCACTCCATCTTCTACCCCACTCCCTTATCAGCCCGAATCTTCCATATTTATAGGCCAGTCCACCACTCCACCAGGGCTTCTAAATCTGGGATTGGCCAGATTCCCCCATGAATATGCTGACTAGGACTCCTCCCCTTCCTTCTTACTGACCTCTGGTAGGCTCTATGGTCCTCCAGAGTCAGGAGAAGGCAATAGAGCCACAACCTGTGGAGTCATCCAGCTGACCTTCAATAACCCAACCTTAGTCACATGACCGAAACAATTACCCCCTGGCTCCTTCAACCAGCTAAGATCTGCTAGTTTTGCACACAGAAGCACAGAAACCCAGTAATGACATCACTGGGTCTAATAAAGGTTTTATTTAAAAAACTCCATTAGCATGTTGATGATGGGGAGGGAGAAACCAGGGAGGGTAACACACAAGCAGATTAGACTTTAGCTTTTTAGTAAAAAAAAAAACATTTTTATCTTCTGGAGCAAATCCGCTACATTTTTCCCTAAAGATTAAAAATTCAAAGCAACACTCACAGTGAAGAGCACGAAAAACCTTTGGTTCTTCTCACCCACACAGTTGTTGACCCACGGACAGTGATGGTCCATCTTTCGGATGCATCGCTTGCAAATACTGAGGTGGAGAGAACACAGGAGAGACAGATAAAGAGGGGTGCAGAGGAATTATGCGATGTGAATATGTACATTGTGACACTTCTACATCAGGGACAATAGAACGGAGTCTATGAACCGGTCAACAGGCTTTAAACCTTTAGTCAGCACAGGTCATTTACCCCCGGTTCACATATATGCGGCCTTGCAGGCCGCGTTTTCGAGGGCCCAAGAGCCCATTCCTTTGAAGGTACTCCCGTGCCCCGTGACATGCAGGGAAAAAGTCCCTACACTTCTTCTGAAAACGCAGCCCACATAGGAACCTCAGTTCCCAGTACGGTTGCATTTTCCAGTGCGTGCGGTGTGCCATTAGAACTAATGGCACCCGCCCGCGGGTCCGCATTCCTCTGTGCGGCTGCGGATCCGCGCAAAAATCCGCGCAGCCGCGCATATGTGAATCTAGCCTTAAGCCCAACTTTAGCAGACATGAGTTTGTACCCATTAGCTGGACAATAAGGCTAGGTTCACATCTGTGGGGGTGGTGCAGCTGCGGATTCGCACGAAAATCCGTACAGCCGCACCCCCCACACAGAGTAATGCGGACCCGCCGGCAGGTGCCATTAGTTCTAATGGCACGCTACAGGCACTGGAAACTGCAACCGTACTGGGAACCAAGGTTCTCGTGTGGGCTGCGTTTTCAGAAGAAGTGCAGGGACTTCTTTCCCTGCGTGTCAGGCTAGATTCACATCTGTGCGGTTGGTGCGGCTGCGGATCCGCATGAAAATCCGTGCAGCCACACCACCCGCACAGAGGAATGCGGAGTCGCGGGTGGGTGCCATTAATTCTAATGGCACGCCGCCCGCACTGGAACACGCAACCGTACTGGGAACCGAGGTTCCCGTGCAGGCTGCGTTTTCAGAAGAAGTGCAGGGACTTCCTCCCTGCGTGTCACGGGGCACGGGAGTCCATTCAAATGAATGGGCTCTCGCGCCAGCACAAATGTGGCCCACACGGCCGCATATATGTGAACCAAGGGTCTCGGGGCACAGGAGTCCATTCAAATGAATAGGCTCTCGTGCCCGCGCAAAAACGCAGCCCGCACGGCCGCATATGTGAACCGGAGGGTAACTCATTTTGTGACATTTTATGAGGACATATAGGGCATATTGTTAATGTAGCTCCTGCTCAAATGTATTAGTTGACAAAAAACAGATATAGTTTAACAAGCTGTAAACGCTGGATGCACTACACATGCCCCAAACAACCTAATTGAAGTACACAGGGTGTGTGTAGCATGTCCAGGGGCGGACTGATAACTCATGGGGCCCCCGGGCAATAGGGGATCATGGGGCCCGTGTCCTTGCCCAAACTTAAAAAAGTCTATGAAAAAGGTACCAGGGGCATCTCATGGGGGCCCCCTACTGACCCCGGGAACTGCCCGAGTTTCCAAATGGTCAGTCCGCCCCTGAGCATGTCCTTGTCCTCTGTCCCACTGCAGCCCCTCTCCTTGACTTGCTAGCAATTCCCAACTGTGAAAATGACAGCCGGAAGTTGCTATGTAAATACAGCAGATTTAGAGGCTGTTGAAAAGGAGACTGACACAGTGTTTCACTGTTCATATGAGAGATAGAGATATACAAGGTGACATCCTTTATAAACAATGTTCAAAGAGAGATACAAAGTAACATTTCTACTTTACAGTTGCTTATGTAGCTACTAGTACACTCCCTCATCATCTCACGCCTTGACTACTGCAACTCCCTCCTCACTGGCCTACCCAAGTGCAGGCTCTCCCCGCTCCAGACCATCCTGAACTCAGCTGCCAGACTCATCCACCTCACCACCCGCTCCACCTCTGCCACCCCCCTCTGCCTCTCCCTCCACTGGCTCCCGATTGCCCAACGCATCAAATTTAAACTCCTAACCCTGACCTACAAAGCCGTTCACAACACACTGCCCCTGACTACCTCACCAACCTGATCACCAAGTACCACCCTACCCGTACCCTTCGCTCCTCACAGGACCTCCTTCTATCCTGCTCCCTGGTCTCCTCCTCCCATGCACGACTGCAGGACTTCTCCAGGTCCTCCCCCATCCTCTGGAACTCACTGCCCCAATCCATCAGACTGTCGCCTTCCCTATTCACATTCAGGCGCTCCCTCAAAACCCATCTCTTCAGGGAAGCCTACCCCACCCTCACCTAACGGCCATCCTCCCTCATTCCTCCCACCACTTCATCCCCCTCAGCCACTTCCTACTGTACCTTTACCCCCTCCCTCCTAGATTGTAAGCTCGTAAGAGTAGGGCCCTCTTACCCCTCGTACGTTGTTTGTTGTTGTTGTACTGTGCCATGTATTGTCCCCCCTATTGTACAGCGCTGAGCAAACCCTTTGGCGCTATATAAACTCGTAGTAATAATAATAATAATAATAGCTACTCAAATTTGCAGATTAAACGAATGAACTTCAAATCTGCACATCATGGCATCTAAAGCAAAAAAAAAAAAAAGAGAACATTTTTTCCCTATTTAACCCTTTATTAAACCTTTGTTTACTCTAATCAGTCCTAATTGACGCTTTCTTCCGCCATCTTCCCCATTCCCATTATTTTTTATATCTATTTTATAGCCATTAATATTTCAACGGATTTTACTTTTTATTCAAATGTGTTATTTTTTTTAGTGTCACATTGAATAAACAATAAGCAAAATGCAAAAAAACTATTAAGAAGTCATTTTAAACAGGAAAAGAAAAGAATAAAAAAATGATACTTTTTGTTTACAGCAACTTAAAAATAAATAAATAACTAACACTAATCAATGTAGAAAAAAAAGTGCTTTTTCTAGTGTTATGTTTTTGTCTATGTATGGATTGCAATTGCAAACATAAAAAAACAAATCATTCTTATATTATCACCAAAAGCCTCTTTGGCCCCCCCCCCCCCAAAAAAAAATAGAATGACGCACGTTGTATTTTCAAAATCATCATGACAAAAGTGTATTTCTTTCTCTCTGACATACTCCAGCAGCTTTCACAGTCAGGGGGCGGAGCAAACGGACAGAGGAGTGAAGTTTCGCTTTGCATAAACCAGGTTATACCCGTCCATTCACTCTATTTATCTATTTCAGGTACTTTTATAGTGCCGTCAATATACGCAGCACTTTACATATATATTGTACACAGGGGCGGACTGACCATTTGGAAACTTTAACACTGCCCGAGGGCACGGGGTCAGTAGAGGGCCCCATGAGATACCCTGGTACCTTTTTCATAGGCTTTTTTGAGTTTGGGCAATGACACAGGGGCCCCATGATCCTCTATTGTCCGGGTGCCGCATGAGTTGTCAGTCCGCCCCTGATTGTACATTCAGATCAGTCCCTAACCCTCAAGGGGTGCACAATCTAAGGTACAAATGAGAGAGCTTACACAATAACTATACCCTCATGGTAATAAGTTGCTCATATCTGGCAGATTCAGTGCCAGCAGCTCTAACACTTTTACAGCACACGGTTTCCCTACAGTGTCTGGAAGCATGCACAAACAAAATATCCAGAAGGGGCAAGGAGAAAGTCATGTTACTTATACTTGCTGGCCTAAGGAGCATGTGCAAGGCAAAAGCAGAGTACCAGAAAACAGACAAGGCATTTAAACAGGCAGTGCCCCTGAAATCACTACAGCTCCTGGAGGACAGCAGGAGAAAGGAAAAAGCTGAACAGTTATGTCTGCAAACTTGCTTGATTTGCCTGAATGGTATAGAGGGGTTACAAATGCATTGTTTGGAGGAAAAGGGGGGAGTATTTTCATTGTGTTTGGAGATCAAACACCAAGTTATTACCTGCAGTGGTGCGCTCGCTCCGGTTTGATGCTGCAACACTTCGGACATTTGTAGATGACTTCCCCTGGTTTCAGCTGTAGGCTTTCCATATACTCCTTAGTGGCATTTCCTTTGGGCACCGCTCCCTGCAATCACAGCAGACATTACCAGCAGGCTGGAGAACCAACAGATTCTTCTTACATCACTTATACAAAGATGAACTCCAGGCAACAAAGAAAAAAAAAAAAAAAAAGACATTTTGCCAAGTTGGGCTTTCACATAAACATATCATGTATTCATATATCGAATTAGTATCAAGTACGCAAATCTGTCTTTATATCAGCTTCCTGAAATCCCCTGCAACACATTTACAGCCTGTAGCTCTATAGGTCTGTGCCATGGCCCCACCTCCTGTCTGCTTTCTGGGCCAATAGTAGTGACACCTACCTTCTCCATCCTCTAAGTTTGCTGACGTTTTTCTCTCATTACCACGTATTCAGCTACTGAGCAGGCACCTCCCACTACAAGCCTGATTTTAGTGGGCATGAAGCATCACAAAAATAATGAAAAAATCAAAAATGGCAGAACACCCCACATGCTATAGAGAGCTTCTCCACTTATTTTTTAGTCATGGCACCCTTTAAAATTATGCAAAACCACTAGGCACCCAAGCCTAAATTGGGGTCCCTTCATCACATCAGAGGCTCCCCCCTTTGACATCAAAGTCCTCAGTCCCCCCCTTTGACATTAGAGTCCTCAGTCCCCCCCTTTGATATCAGAGTCGTCTGTCTCGCCCCCCCTCCCTTTTCATATCAAAGTCCTCCACCTCCCCCTTTCACAATGGAGACCTCCACCCCCCCCATCCTTTTAAATCAGAGTCTGCATTCCCCCATCCTCCACATCAGAGTCTTAAGCCCCCCTCCATTTTCACAGCAGAGTTCTTGGCTGTCCTATGACATGTAAGCAATTAATAACACGATACGAATAACTGTGCAGCGATCGCAGTATTTCACGAAGTCCAGATACCTATTTTTGATGATTGTATATTGCAGTCATGTGACTTGTTCAGGTACCTCCCATCCACTGTGATAGTGGGGGGGGGGGTTGCAGAGATTACTTGCAGCAGGTCAAGTCCTGCATATGTCACAGCTGAATGTTCTCTCCCTTTCCCTGGGGCTGCAAAGTGTCACTTGGGGGCCACTATTAACCACAATGATGTGACCGAAGGAAATTCCCTTCCTTTTCTTGCTAAGTGTCACATGGGGGTGGTGTCAATCATTTATTTATTTCAGGTACTTATATAGCGCTGTCAATTTACGCAGCACTTTACATATATATTGTACATTCACATCAGTCCCTAACCCTCAAGGGGTGTACAATCTAAGGTCCCTAACTCACATCCATACATACACATACTAGGGACAATTTAGACAGGAGCCAATTGGCCTACCAGCATGTCTTTGGAGTGTGGGAGAAAACCCCACGTAGGCACAGGGAGAACATGCAAACTCCAGGCAGGTGGTGCTGTGGTTGGGATTTGAATCAAGCAACCATTTAGCCACAGCAGGACATTCCCACCCTTTCCCTTGGGCTACAAAGGGCATTGCATGGAGGCTGCAGTAAAAATGTTGACATCAAAGCATGACGTTTCATTTCTTTGCACAGAGTCACAGCAGGACATTCTCTTTCTTTTCTAAAGGCCGCAAATATTGTCTTGTGGGGACTGCTGTCATTTAAGATGAAATCTCAGCAGGGCATTTCCTCCATTTCCCTAGGGCCACAAAGCAGTGTTATGTGGGAGGCCCCTGTAAAACATCATGTTATGTAACATAGGGCTACAAAGAGCATCAAGTGGGGACCACTGTCAATCACAATTACGCCAGAGCAGGACATTCCCTTCCTCCAGGCTGCAAAAATTGTTATGTGGGGGGCCGCTATCATTTATGATGACGTCACTGCAGAATGTTCCCTCCCTTGCATGTGGCCATAAAGAGTGTCACTCAAAGATTGCCATCAAGCACCATATGACGTCATAACACAAAGAGCATCATGTAGGGCTCAGTGTCAATCAGGGCCACAAACAGTGTCATGCAGAGGCCGCTGTCAATCACCATGTGACATCACAGCCAAACATTCCTTCCCTTTCCCAGGAGCCACAAAGCGTCATATGGAGGGGCTGCCAATGTGGTCTTAGCAGGACCTTCTCTTCCTTTCTCTAGTACCTCAGAGGGTGCCACATGGGCGCTGCCGTCAATGATGACATCACAGCTGGACATTCCCTTTCTTTCCCTGGTAGCTCAGAGGTGTCACATGGGCGCTGCCGTCAATGATGACATCAAAGCTGGACATTCCCTTCCTTTCCCTGGTACCTCAGAAGGTGTCACATGGGCGCTGCTGTCAATCATGATGACATCACAGGCGGACATTCCTTTCCTTTCCCTGGTACCTCAGAGGGTGTCACATGGGCGCTGCTGTCAATCATGATGACATCACAGGTGGACATTCCCTTCCTTTCCCTGGTACCTCAGAAGGTGTCACATGGGCGCTGCTGTCAATCATGATCACATCACAGGTGGACATTCCCTTCCTTTCCCTGGTACCTCAGAAGGTGTCACATGGGCGCTGCTGTCAATCATGATGACATCACAGGTGGACATTCCCTTTCTTTCCCCAATACCTCAGAGGGTGTCACATGGGCGCTGCTGTCACTCATGACGACATCACAGCTGGATATTCCATTCCTTTCCCTGGTACCTCAGAAGGTGTCACATGGGCGCTGCTGTCAATCATGACGACATCACATGTGCACATATATTCCCTTCCTTTCCCAATACCTCAGAGGGTGTCACATAAGCGCTGCTGTCAATCATGATGACATCACAGCTGGACATTCCCTTCCTTTTCCCAGGGGTGCAGAAAGTGTCACATGGGGGCTACTGTCATGTATGAAGTGACAGCAGGACCTTCTCTCCCTTTCCCTGGGGCCACAAAAAATGTCATGAGAGGACTGCTGTCATCATATGACATCACAGCTGGATTCCCTTCCTTTCCCCTGCATCACAAAGAGTTATGTAGGGGCCACAGTCAATGAGGTCTTAACAGGACATTCCCTTCTTTTAACAGGGGCAGCAAAGTGTGCCATGTGGGTGGTGTTGTCAATCTTGATGATGTTACAGCAGGACATTCCCTCCCATTCACACAGGCCTACAAAGAGTGCCATGCAGGGGCTGCTGTCAATCGTTATGTGATGTAACAGTCAGACGTTTCTTTCCTTTCCTCGGGCCCACAAAATGTCACAAGAGGGCTGCTGTCAATCATGACATGGAGCCACCCTGCAATCCCTTGAAGAGTGTCATGTGGAGCAGGAGAGGAGAAAAGAGGAAGTGCAGAGCTTCCTCCCGGAAAGACTGACACAATGCACGGTGAGGGTGGCTAAGTCGAAGGATCAGCTGGAACAGTATTGCTGCTCTGAACAGGGAAAGAAACGTTAAGCACACAAGTGGGGGAATTCATTTTCGAACCAATGATACAAAAACTAACCGACACATTAAATAGCGCTGGCTGCTACACTAGATGCCGTCTCTGAATCTCATTCCCGGGCGATGTCTTGCTCCCTTGCTTTTGTCAGACAGTGACGCTGCGATTGAATAAAAACAGAACACCAGGCAAATGTAAAAGACTCTGTACAACAGAGCCTGGGATAGGGAGAAGTAAAGCAAAGAGCAAAATCAGTTGTACAAAGTACATGCTGATAGGAGGAGAGAGCAGAGATGAGCTCTTCAGTCTGCTGCTTCTCCTTTCACTGTCTAGTCACAGGCTGGGGGAGGGACAAGACCTGTAAGTGTTACATAAAATGTTAATTCACCTTCACAGGAAGAAAAAAATAAATAAAAAGGTAACCTAAACACAGCCCAAGACCCCCGGTGCCCGCTGTACTTAGCTCTGTGGGTGCGGAGCTGTCAGTACCCGTGGAGCCCATGTACAGCAGTCTAGAGATATGATTTCCCTGCTGTGCAGCAGCTCCACCTTTCTTTTTTCCTTCTCATGAACTTTTTTTTCCTCTTTCTTTCCTCTATTCTTCTTTCTTTTCTTCATTTTTCTTCCTTCTTTCAAGTCTTTTCCTTTTCTCCTCCTTCCTTCTCTTTTACATTTTCTTTTATCTTCAGTTCTTTTTTCCTTTCTAGCTCTCCTTCTTCTTCTTCTCCATTCCCCCCCCCGTTTCTTCTTTATTCTGTTCACTCTCGACTCTGCTTTCCCTCTCTCTTCTTCTCCTCTTCTTGCTCTTCTTTTCTTTGTCTTCTTTTTCCTTCTTCCTTTGCCTTCTTCCTTTTAGTCTTCTTTCTTTCGTCTTTCTTCCATTCTTTTCTTCTCCTCTTCTTCGTCTCTTCTTCTTTCTTCTCTTCAAAAGAGTCTTTCTTTCTATCTCTTTTCCTTTCTTCTTTTCTCTCCTTTTCTTTTCTTCTTCCTTTCTTATTCATTTTTCTTCATCCTTCTCTTCTCTCTTTCTTCTTTTTTCTTCTTTTTTTTTCCTCTTCAATTTTTTCTTCCTTATTTTTTTCTTCTCTTTTTTCCCCCCTTTTTCTCCTCCTTTCTTCTCTGCTTCCATCCTCCTCGTTCCTTCTCTTTCTTCTCTTTTTTCTTTGCTTTTCCCTTCCCTTTTCCTTCCCTTCCTTTCTCCCTCTCCTTTCTTCACTTTCTTTCTCTTCCTCCCTTCCTTTCTTCATTTCCCTTCTCTTCTTCTTCTTCTTTTCATTTTTCTTCCTTTCTTTCCTTTTTCTCTCTTCTTCTTCTCTACCTTCTCTCCCCACTTTCCCTTTCTCATTTCCTTCCCCTTCTTTCTCTTTCTCTCTTCCTTCTTTTCTCTCTCTTTCCTCTTCTTTTCTTTTCTCTTTCTTCCTTTCTTCTCATCTTCTTCCCTTCTTCTCTTTTCTCTTCTCTTTTTCTTTCTTTTTTCCTTCCTTTTCCTTCTCTCTCTACTTTCTTCTTTTTTTCTTTCCATCTTTTTACCTTCTTTTCTTCTTTCTCCTCTTCTTCGACTCCTTTCTCTCTCTTCTCCCCTTCCTCTCTTCTCTCTTTTTCCTTCTTTCTTCTTCTTCTTTTTTTCTCTTCCTTCTTTCCTCTCTCCTTCCTTCTTCTTCTTTTTTCTTTTCTCTTCTCTTCCTTTCGATTCTTCTCCCTTTCTCTCTTCTCCTTCATTCTTCTTTTCTTTTTCTCTTCCTTCTTCTTTTTCTTCTGTTTCTCTTTCCTTTCTTTCCTTTTCCCCTTCCTTCCTACTTTTCTTTTTTCCTTCCCCCTTTCTCTCTTTTCTCTTTTCTTCCACCTTCTTCTTTCATTCCTTTTTTGCCTTCTTCTCTCTTTCTTCTCCTTTCCTCCCCTTCTTTGTCTCTCTTCTTCCCCTTCTTTCTTCTTCTTCTTTCTTTTTTTCCCTCTTTTTCTTCTCTCGACCCTCCCTTTCTCTTTTTTTTCCTCCTTACTTCTCCTCTTCTCCCTCCTCCTTCCTCACCTCCTTCTTCTTTTCCTTCTTATTCTCCTCCCTTCCCCCCCTCCTTCCTCATTCTTTCTTTTTTCCTTCCCCCTCATCTTTTCTTTTTTCTTTTTTCCCTTCTTCCTCCTTTTCCCTTCCTTCCTTTCCTTCCTTTATTTTTCTTTCTTTTCCTTTGCCTTCCTTTTTCTCCTTCTTCTTTTTCTTCCTACCCTCTCATCCCCTCTTTTTCCTTTTCTTTCTGTTCCCTCTCTTTTTTTTCTTTCCGGTTTCCTTTCTTTCTCTTCTCTCCTTTTCTCCTTCTTTTCCTCCTTTTTCTTCTTTCTCTTTCCTTTTTTTTCTCCTCCTTTTCTTCCTCTTCCCCTTTTCCTTTTTTCTTCTTTCTTTCTCTTTTTCTTCTTTTCTCTTCTTCTTTTTCTTCTTTTTTTTTTTTTCCTTTTCTTCTCCCCTCTCTCCTTCTTTTTCCTTTTTCCTTTTCCTTTTGTTTTTCTCTCATCCTTTTTTCTTTCTCTTTTTTTTTTTTTTCCCTTTTTTCATTCCTTCTTCCTCCTCTTTTCTCCTCCTTTTCTTTTTTCTCCCTTTCTCCCCTCTTCTCCTTTCCTTCTTTCTCCTCTTCCCTACCTTCTCAACTTTCTCCCCTTCTTTCCTTTCCTTTCTTCCTTTTCTTCTTTCTTCTTCAGGTTATTTTTTTCTCCAAATTTTTTTCTATCACTTTAATCCCCGCTTGTAAATTCCGGATTAGTTCCAGCGAGGCTGCTCTTAAACCATTCCTCTTGGCTTTGCACCTCCAAGATGAACCTTTAAGGGATTCTCCTCAAATTGCTCACCTTTTAGGGTCAATCTTTGCACCTTTCTTGAGAACAGAGGGAATTTCAAAGGGAAAGACCCAGACTGTCTACATGGGTATGGACACTTTGGTGAAAGCTAGTCCTGAATCTTGCGATGGTGTAAGTAAAGGGAAAGACGTCCCAAAGGGTTTTCAAAGCCGGAAGAAGCAGAGATCGGGGACACTGTTCCTGGTCACCCCAGAGATACCGAAGAAGAGATCGGGACCTTTCCATGAGTATACCGAACGGGTGGTGCTGAGAGCGCGTGTGCTCTCAGCACATAATTTTTTTTTTTACATAGACGCAAATGTGCGGCGGTTCGGCGTCTAGGCCCAGACGCCGGGAGTAAGCACATTTGCATTCGGCCGGCGCCAAGAGGTTAAAACTAAGGTGTCCGTTTATGAACCAGGGGTAAATGATCGCTGCTCAGTTCTGCGGAATTCTCGGAGAACACAGCTCTCCTGTGAATGCCGTTTATGAAGCGGTGTAGATCAGTTCTCCGAACGAAGGGAGAACGGTCTACAAACGCTGGAAAACGGCTGATTTTACTATAATCTCACGAGATTACAGTAAAAGATCAGTTTACTAAGCAGAGGTAAATCATCGCTGCTTAGTTTTCGGATCCTCTGATTCTCCAGCTCTGGGCTGAAGAATCTGGAGGGGAGAACACAGATCTCCAGTGAAGGGCTGAACATGTTCTCCGCTGATCTCCTGAGCAGGGGCGGACTGACCATTTGGAAAACTCGGGCACTGCCCGAGGGCCCGGGGTCAGTAGGGGGCCCCATGAGATGCCTCTGGTACCTTTTTCATAGGCTTTTTTAAGTTTGGGCAAGGACACAGGGGCCCCATGATCCCCTATTGCCCGGGGGCCCCATGAGTTGTCAGTCCGCCCCTGCCTCTTGAGTGTCATAAACTGTAAATGACCAGAGAATAGCTGCGATCCTCTGAATCGCAGCTATTCTCTGTGTCATAAACGGACAACTTACACGTTACACGTAGCAGAGAAAAATCATGATCCCTCTCCTGCCAGACAGGGTTGGGCTGTGTGTGACAGAGCTGTGTAAATCTCAGTACTGAATGGACAAAAATAAAAAAACATTTGGCAAACAGCTCCTATATAGGTATTTCATCTGTGTATGTAGCCATTTGCCTGGAGTTCAGCTTTGAAGGTAAACTCCACCCAATTATGATATATATCGCTGAGCGCCGGCAGACAGCCTCACCATGTTAATATGACTAAGACAAATCAAAAACCAGCATAAAGTGGGGTTTTTAAAACTGGGAGGAGGGAGGTTTCTGGCACTCACCGGATCGGTTAGCATGGTCCTTAGGTGGGAGGCCAGTGCCATGACCGCCAGGCAGTTGAAAAGGGTCCCGTTAATGACGGAATACCAAAAGTCTTTGGATGGCAGCAGCATTTACAAAAAAGTCACCACAAAGTCTGCATAGAAGACCAGCATCCATGTGATTACGGCGCACACCATGCCACAGCCGTCCCGGATGAACCACAGTCTGTCCACCAAATCGTTGTCCGAATGGGCAGGGCTGTAGCCATCGCTTTCGTTCAGGAGAGGATGGTGTTCCCACGTCGCGGAAGCGGTGTCCCGAGGACTGCAT